TTAGATCCCACTGTGATATTGTTATTCAAACCTCTTTCCTCCCTGAGCCTATCTTAAAATTATAATTTAAAATCATTCAATTACAACCAATTATAAACACTTTCAGAATGGTATACCTGCAATATAATTCCAAGCAATTTACTTAAGACATTAAATAAGAAAATCTTATTAAGAAAAGGAAACATATATAATTACTAACCAAGTGAGGAAAAAAATGTTATAAGTTTTCTCAACACTGTAAGGATTCCTTATGGACATAGGAAGACAATTACAAATGGTTTCTTTGATGTAGATTAAAGTTTAGTTTGCTATGGATAAAAGACCTGATGAACAAAGATCAGATTTTAGCTTAGTTGCCTTATTTCCTCAAGGGTTCATTCCAATATACCAACACACATATACTATATTACATGGTAGTGTTTTATAAAGCTAAATATAAAGCCAAGTGTCACTTCCAGGAATATACAAAAAGAAAAACCACAAAAATGTGGGACTATTTGTAGAAGGATAGTTTTATTCTCATATTATCCACTGCAGCAAATTTTGTTGGTGTCTTGATGCTAGTCATACATTATTCTGGTGATAAGAACAGAAGTACTAAGAAAGGCTGGTGGGCTGAGGAGTCTAAGGGGAAACAAATAGCTTACAAGTACAGGGGGACAGGACAGGGAAATTTCCATTTTTACTTTACATACATCTATTTTATCTAAATGTACTGTTTGCATTATAAAATAAGTCAACACGGGCCCTCCCTGGTGGCGCAGCAGTTTAAAGCACAGCACAAAGAAGCTCAGGCCACTTCCTCATGAGTTCGATCCCTGCCTGCCCTGGAGAAGATCCATATGGCCAGGCAGACCTCTCCTGACCCGCCAGCTGCTCCCCTCAGCAGTGTACTTCGTTGATCTGCCTGTTCTGTACTCCACTCTGTCTCTGGTGAATCCTCTCACCCTCCGCATCTCTGGCCTGTACCCCAGTTCTGTATGAATAAATAAATAAATCTTTAAAGAAAAAGTCAATACATGGTTAAAATAAATCAAGAATGATAGGGAAAAAGGAAGAAAAATATTTTCTAAATAGGTTCATTCTGTTCACCAAATAGCTTTAATTCTGTGTGTGTGTGTGTGTGTGTGTGTGTGTGGTCAAATTTATCACTACCTTCTCTTTACTACTGTAAAAGAGAGCATAGAGAGACAAGTGAAAAAGATGTACTTGTTTTTAGGTCCTGGACTGGTTGAAGCAGATGTTTGTGAGAGACTCATGGGAGATTAACAATGGCAGCCTTATCTTGATTTTGCTCCTTCTGTCCCAGATGTGCTGGGCCCCTTCTGCCCCTTTCCTATGCTATGGATCATCATCAGAAGTCCTTTGACTGGAGGCAGGCTTTCAGACTTCAGTGGCCCTGCTTTGGGCCAACGCTGTTTGGCTGGGCATTTACTCACAAGGGCATGGGTAACTTTGGGTGTCTGATTTGGAAACTTCCCCTTTTCTTTGTTACTCACTAATTGTATTAAAGTTCATTTCCATTAAATGTCATACACACTAGAGTATGTTTTCTCTTGATACAGCGGGTGGCAGAACTTTTTTAGGACAGACAGGTTTGGGGGTTCTGGAGTACTCCCCCTGCCCTGTAAAACTACTTCCTATCCTTGATTAGTCACCAGTCATTTGTGCTCATAAGAATTAGAACCACCATGTTCAACTAAATCATCTGAGTAACCTATCTATACTCAACTCACGTAAGAAATAAGTGAGGAATAGCTTTCAATGAATTCTCATCATTTATAAGTTATTCGAGTTCTAAGCTTCTTTTCTTCCCTTTATTTAAAAAAAAAAAAACAAAAAAACAACACTAAAAGTTGAGTCATTATGCTGACCAATGGAGAAAAAAAGCATCCTTGGCTTCGAAAAAAATTATAGACTGGGGAGTATACAGATTCAAGTCTGACTATTAAGGAATGCATGATATAAATACCCAAAAAGAAATCAAAAGAAAATTCATTAGGGGTGAAGTTAATTCCCTTTGGAAGAAACTAAGTAAGAGGCTTCATAGTCTTCAAAGATCCTGAGTAAGAGTTCAAAAGGTAGCAAGCAATTTGGTGACTTATGTGAGCAACTTAGAGAGGAGGAGTAATCCAGGGTTTGAGTGCAAGATTGGTTATGAGATTGAAGAGATAGCATGAGTTCAGACAATGGAAGACCTGCATACTAACTATGGATTATTTGGAAGCATCAAAAGTTTCTGATCAAGGGAATATGAACATAATTTACAACCAGACTTAAAAAAATAGATGGCAACAGTGTGGAGGATGGATGGGAAGAAATGAGAGGCCACCAGGAGAGGCATAAGGAATACTACAAACAAGATGGGAAAGGCTTCACAATGGCCCTAGACAGAAGGGCCTGGATCAGATGTGCAGAGGGTGAATGATGCAGCGAGCTCAGTAAGTGGGAAGAGGCAGGCAGAAGGAAGAATTGGTTCCAAGTTTTACAGCCTAATGTGCTAAATAGAGCATGGAAGGTACACACGGTGATGGAGCAGGTTTGAATTGGAAAGACAATGAGTTTGTTTTTTAGTTTTCTTCAATTTGAGTGCTTAAGGGGTATCCACGGAGATATCTGATTTGGCAGGCAAACTTGGGGGCTGACACTTGAGGTTAAGAGAATTTAGGATTAAAATCCAGTTTGTGGACTCATCTACTGGAGTCATGGGAGAGAAAAGACTACACAGGGCAAGAGAAACAGGGCAGAGAAGAGGTCAGGAATGGAAGTGGGCAAGAAATCATCTCCAACAAAAGGGAGCAAGACAACTAAGTGGAACTCAAGCAAGTTAACTTTGCCTTCTGTAAATAACTCTGACAAAGAAAAGAGTTAGAAGACCGAACACCAGACTATATTTCCTCAAGGGATCAGTTGAGATTCTGTTCAGTTCTCTGAAATTCAATTACAGAATAAGGCATACAACTTATACCTGATCTATTCATTTGTCTCCCTGAAGTACTAATTCGTTATGTCTGAAGTATGCATTCTTATTCCTAAAAGGATTTTTAGTGTTCCTACCTTATTTCTCAGACCCAATCATGTAAATGCCCTTATTAGTCTTGTCCATGTTAAAGCTGAGATTATGTTCACAATGACCATAACCTAGTTTCAAACTGATTAATTACTTCATAGTCTAAAATAGATAATTTTTTGTTTTATTTAAATACTAGAGAAAACTTTTAAAGTAAACTAGATTATCTGCTTTCCTAGATAATGATACTTATTTGGAAATAAGAGCAGCCTTGTTTTAGACTCCCTATGTTAACTATTAAGTGATAGATGGAATTTAACCAGGAAGTTTAAAAAGGCAGCCAAAAGCCCAGGTCAACTTCAGAACCCCTCCACCTTCCTATGCTGTTAACGGCCAGTGGCAAGTGCTATGGGCATCCAGCTGGATCCTTCCTTTTCTTCATTCTGCCCAGCTGTAAGATAGGCTTGTTCTGACCCATCTCTCACCAGACATTTATGAGAAAAGTCTCTGGCCAGATCCTTACATATAATCAGCATTTTTGTTTGCTGCAGTCCCAGTCATTTCCTACCTCAGGCCAGTTTCAACATGCGCTAGCTTTTTGCACTGAATCTACACAGTGTGTGCGGGCGTGACATCAGCTGTCCTGCCCCTAACATGGCCTTCGAGGAAGAAACTTACAATGGTGCTTTGAGTCCCAACAAAGCCCCTTCCTCTCTACTTAGGATCTCTGACATTTCCCCCTTCCTATTTAAAATTCTTCCTATTTAAAAAAAAAAAAATTAAGACCATAAAAGGGGAAGAGGGAGTAAGAAGGCCTGGAGGGCTAAAATTCTAGAGGCAAGAATATAAAAGAAGTCATAAAACTGCTTTGTGGTTACATCTTTTGCCAGCTGGTTCCAGTGTAGCTAGAAAGGGGTTCTAGCTGTGCAAACCTTTAAAAAAAATTTTCCTATACCCTCAAACAGATGATCCCCACAATCTCAAGAAATATTCTAGGCAGGACATAAAAATGCACTAAAAGGTGAGAAGAGATGGACCAAATCATACCAACATAATCGAGGACGAGTTATCTAGTTTTTATTTCAGAAAGAATGCTTTCTATCATGACTTCATAAAAGTAAGGGCTGAGCCAAATACTTAGTTTGAAACAATTTGGCTTTCCCAGGGAGATGGAATCTGATGGCTGTGCTGCCCGTCAGATCTGTTTATTTCATTATAATGACGGTTGTAACATACCATCCCCATGTACAAAGCCAGATATGCAGGAAATATGAGAAAACTGGAAAAATTTACCAGCTCTGCGGCCCCTGGATTGTGTTATAAGTCACCAGCATATGTAACTCATTTTCTTGTTAAGTAATTCCCTCAGGGGACTGGGTCTGCAATCCACATGAAGGATCAAATTTCATTTGCAGTTGTAGGAAAATGCAGCCCTCTGCATTTGCAAGTCAAAACTCCTGAAGGCTACAGTTAGTCTGGCTACCTTGGTTGATTTTCTTGGGAGAGGATTTTAGCAGACAGAAAACATTTGTTGCATGGCACAGGAGAGGAAGTTGAGAAGAGGAGGGATTCAGCTAGCAAAGAGACAACTAAGCCTCAGTTTTAATGTTAAACTCTAGTCTTAACACTCAGCCTACAGCTGTGTCCAAGCAGAGAGACATTCAGCAGTAATTCCAACCCGCCCCCCCCCCAATACACAGGAAGACAGATTAAAAGGGCAAGCATACAAACACACATAACCAATGGACTCTCTTTTTTTTATTTCTAGATATCAACTTGACTCCCAGCATGTGTTTGATTTCACATGAAATTGGGTCAGACTCACAAATTTTAGCATCTGTGTAAACAATTCATGTGTGATGTTTGATTAACTCATCTGACTTGAAGCAAAAACAACACATATTCGCTAGATTAAGCTGTCTAGATTTGCAAGTTTTCTTTAGTTATCTGAAGTCTCATTCTCAAAGTTTTAAACCCGCCCGACACTTACCTTGGTTTGAGTTGATTCACCTTTCTCAAACATCATCTTCAGCCTGTTCAGTGGAACATTGTATTTCTCAATTTTGTTTGCAGCTTCTGTGTTCTCACTGATTTCAGCTTTTCCTACTTCATGCCTGGATTCTCCCAGCCAATTTTCCATTTTTTCACTTCCTGGTGAGTGGTCCTGGAGATCCTCGCCGTCCTCAATGTGGGGATACAGATACCGAGGAAGGGCTTCCGGAGGTGCTCTGAATCTAGGTGTGGAGGGAAGTGGGTCCACTTGGTCAGCTTCGGTCCCTGACGCTGAGCTTTGTGCCACTTCAGCTGGAGGGCGGTCGCCTCTGTGCCTGACCTCAGCGCTGCTGTTTCGCAGGGAGTCTGTGTGAGACTCTGTTTCCTGCCCCGGGTTCTCCCACTTCTTCTTCAGCACAGTTAAGATCCCCCTTCTGAAATGCTGGGGGTGATTGTCAGTGTTCTAGAAGAACAAGAAATAAATGCCAGTTATAACTTGCCTGCTGCAACACTCAAACATGTTGATCTTTGTAAAATGAAAGTTTAAAACTCCAAGCTGCTTCTGGTCCACTGGCGTTCAGGCAACTGTGAACGTTACAGCCCAGCCACAAGGAGAAAGCATCCACCCTAGCCGAGGGAGAGGGGAAGAGAGAATAAGTCAGGAGCTGACGCAGGAAGTGATAAAACAGGATGGCCTTATAAGGACAAAATGGCAAGAAAGGAGAGCACAGACCTATTGACTAGGGGACAAGAGATTTTTATCCAAATATTGGGAAAAACAAGAAAGAAAAAGCAAAATACTAGGTACTTGAACACTGTAAATATGTTTAATAAAAGTTCATCATTGCATGCCACAAAATTTTGTGAATTCTGCTGGGGTTTTTTCCTTTAAAATAAGACACAGATGCAGGAAAGCCAAAATTACTCAACTCCAATCATTGCGGACAGCCGCACCAAGGATGGAAACTGTACAAATCTGAAGAAAACACCAGACTTTTACATTTATTGCATAAAACATATTTTATCGTCTGACATAATTTACATGCAGATAAATCAACTTTTTTAAAATTAAGACTCTAATCTCTTTTTTTCTGCTCCTTGCTGTATATTTACCTACACGAAAATTCTCACTTATCAGAAAAGTCACGATTTTACAGATCCTTTTGATGAAATACCCAGGTTCCCTTGGAACCACCACCATGTGCTTGATTGCAAGACACAACTTCCACCGCCCCGGAGGGTTCACTTTCACCTGGGTCAAATAGAGTTAATTAACACAGACACAGAGTGAAAACAACCTGGGCATTGTCGATGTTGCTTGATGAAGCAAGATGAAATGTCCCCTACTTGGTAAGCACCCCCACCATGTGGGGCAGCCACCAACGCACTTGCACTCCAATTCGGTCTAGCCCTCCATTCCTGTGGTCTGTGACTCACCTGTCTTTCAAGAAAGAAAGGACAGACAACCAGGGACTGAGCGTCTTCAGAGATTTAAACAGGATTAGCGGCTATATTGGGAATTAAGTCTCTCACCCTACTGCTCTTCTGAATATACTCTGAGAGCCACTCCCTCAAGCACCCCAAGACTGGAAAAGAAAGTTAACAAAGAACAACTGCTTGATTTTAGTGTTTAAACCAGAACTGACAGATGAGATATGCACTGCGGAAAGTATATAAGGGTCAGAGATAAAATAAGTGCAAAATGTTTTCTTTTTGGAAAAGAGAGTTAAGGTACTGCTCTGGAAGCCATGCTACCTTAAAGGCTAGGTGCTCCCTCCTGCCACACAAAGGATGAGTCACCTGGGTCTCAGACTTTCCCAGCTCTGCTCTCCCCAAGCTGGAGGCAGAGAATCAAAGCAGCCTGATAAAGTGCCTCACTGCTGTCCTCAGAGACGGATCATGTGATCAAGTATATTTACTGACATAATAAGATGCTTTTGAGTGACAAAAGCAAATATAAGGCAGTGTGGCTCCATTTTATAATACACACGCATATTCAGAAATAGAAACATAGAAAAGTATTCTGGAAGAAAAGATATCAGGATGTTATAGGTTATCTTTGAATCATGGATTACGGGTTTAGATTCTTTTTTTTAAGATTTATTTATTTATGCATACAGAACTGGGGTACAGGCCAGAGGTGCAGAGGCGGCGAGAGGCTTCACCAGAGACAGAGTGGGGAGCAGAACAGGCAGATCCACGAAGTACACTGCTGAGGGGAGCAGCGGGCGGGTCAGGAGAGGTCTGCCGCACCATGTGGTCACCTCTGGAGCAGGCGGGGATCGAACTCACACGGAAGCGGCTTTAGCTTCTCAGTGCTGTGCTTTAACCCACTGCGCCACCAGGGAGGGCCCTTTTTTCTCTTTTTACAGTAAGTGTGTATTCATTGTATAATAACACAAATTCAGAAATAAAAGTATACATATATCTTCATATTTTTTTTTTAAATCTGTAAAACAGTAACAATCTTGATGTTGTAAGCAGCTTGAAAATTCTGTGTCCCCAGCCGAGGAGCATTTTAAAGATGAGTAAATGTGTTCCTTTATGAAGAACATTCCTCAGGATACAAGGTCGAAAGGGGTGGGGGGGACAAGAAAAGGGGGGGGGCTGTGTGTTCTGCCGGCATTAAAGGCCACACTCGGTCCTTGCAGAACCTCCTTGTTGTGCCAGTTGTGGAGACTCTGGGTGTCACTTTGAGACGCTCGTGGTGTCTGTAACTGGCAAGACCTGGGGAGTTCTGGCAAGAGTAATACAGATCAGATTTTTTTATTTTAAATTAAAAAAAAAGTATATTTATTATGTATGCATACAAGAATTGGGGTGCAGGCCAGAGGTACAGGGGTTAGAGGATTCACCAGAGACAGAGTGGGGAGCAGTACAGGCAGATCTACTGAAATACACTGCTGAGGGGAGCAGTGGGGAGACAGGAGAGGTCTACTGTGCCCTGGGGGTCACTCCCTGCCCAGCCAGGACCCACTGTGTTTGCAGTGGCTGTCAACAGCTTGATAGCACTGTCTTTAACTCCTGCGCCAGATGAGATTTTAGAAGCTAAGGCAAGGAGAGATAGGAAAGAAGCAATGGCTACTCTCTTTCTGTGGACTAAAGAAAGAGAAGCAAAAAGTACAGAACAAAAAGCAGTTTGGATAACACAGTGAAAAGAGCCTGGGCTGACAGACTGGTTATCAGTGGTAATGCATTGCGGGGCATGCATAGTTTCTTCTCTTTATTTGTATTTCTACAGTCAACATTTATTACTTGTACAAGCCAAGTGAACTTGGGCAAGTTTCTTAATCCCAAAAACTACCTGTCAGGGTTATTATGGAGAATTAATGAGATTAAATGTGTAGTATAGCATCTGACATCAACAGGAACCCAATGAGTGGTGATGATTATTATTAAACGGTGGTCCTCTTTCTTCCAGCCCTATATCATCACGGTGATCAACCACAGTGCACAGTCATCTCCCCAATCTTGATCTTGGATTATAGTTTTTTACTGTTTTTCTACTCTTGTTATTATCTTCAGAGTCAAGCAGGGGTAGGAGGAGCATAAAATACAGTCAAATTCTAGTTGATGTCCTTTGCATCAAGGTTTTAACTTTTTCCCAGGTATTTTCCTAGAATAAGTCAGTGGCCACTCCAGGAGGCTGCAAGTTTTCAAGGACCCCATCAGTTGCTCCACCAGCCTGGCCTCCTTTCTCAAGGTGACACCCAGCCCTAGGGTTATGTGCCCTGACCCAGCACAGCTGAGACTCTTGGCAGATGTTGCACTTGGAGTGGCTGTCTGAATACAGAGCAGGCTCACCCTGGAGAGGCAACATAATGTCCTTTCTGCAGGAGCAGTCAACTTGGAACTAGGATGCATGTCAGCCCTGTCATGCTGAGGCATTTGATCCTTGTAAGTCCTTCTCCTTTAGTCAGTTTTCATCTGTGCAGTGAGGAACATGGATCAAGTAAGCTTTAATGTTGAGGTCATGGGAGAAGAATCTTCATCTTAAAAGCAGGGAGATGGGCCCTCCCTGGTGGCGCAGTGGGTTAAAGCACAGCACTGAGAATCTAAAGCCGCTTCCGCATGAGTTCAATTCCCGCCTGCCCCGGAGGTGACCACATGGCGCGGCAGACCTCTCCTGACCCGCCCGCTGCTCCCCTCAGCAGTGTACTTTGTCGATCTGCCTGTTCTGTTCCCAGCTCTGTCTCTGGTGAGGCCTCTCACCGCCCCTGAGCCTCTGGCCTGTACCCCAGTTCTGTATGCACAAATAAATAAATCTTTAAAAAAAAAAAAAAAAGCAGGGAGATGTTTGGTGGAAACATGGACTAGTTGACATACGGCCAGCCTCCAAGGAAGGAAGGAGATCCCCAAACTGAAAAATGACAGCTTTCCAAGACATTTCCTGAACACCTCAGAAAAAGTCATCAATTTTTATGGAGAAAGTTGCCCAAATGGCACAGAGTTTGAAAAGTGGCATAATCCATGTTTGTAAGGGACCTGAAAAAACAATTGGTGGTATTAATGGTCTGTATCTCTGATTCCTGGGGCCAAGTGGAAGAGGAAGGGGAGAAGTAAGTTTTTGGAAATCCAGGCTCTTACTTAACCTGTCCTGACTGTTTGCTGAGGTAACAAATATACCCACTTATTCTGGGTAAATCACTTGTCTACCTTGCCTTCTATAGGAAAGTGTGAGTTTTCTTCAGTCAAGCTAGTCAGCTGCTTCTATCATTTATGTGGACATTTCTCCTTGAGTTTATATGGACAAGTCTCCATCTTGGCAAGTGTCACACACTGTTCCACTGTCAAATGTGCCTAGTCTCCTAGTCTCCATCCTGAGCATGTGCTTCCTCTGCTCCCTTTGCAAGTTCAGTCTCCTTTGCTGGTTCTCCCTCTCTCACAAACTTTTATTTATAGTTTTGTATATTCAGTTTGTATTTATTTTATTCATTTATGCATATAAGAGCTGGGGTGTACAGCAGAGGTGGGGGAATTGAGAGGATTCACCAGAGACAAAGTGGGGAGCAGAACAGGTGGATCTACTAAAATACACTGCTGAGGGGAGAAGTGGGTTGAGACAGGAGAGGTCTGCTGCGCCATGTGGGTTGTTCAAATTAGTGCAGCTGATAGCTTCATAATGCTGAGCCTTAACCCCTTGTGCCACCAGGGAGGTCCTCCAGGCCCTCCCTGGTGGCACAGCGGGTTAAAGCACTGCGCTGAGAAACTAAAGCCACTTCCGCATGAGTTCGATCCCCGCCTGCCCCGGAGGTGACCACATGGCGTGGCAGATCTCTCCTGGCCCGCCCGCTGCTCCCTCAGCAGTGTACTTCCTCGATCTGCCTGTTCTGCTTCCCGCTCTGTCTCTGGTGAATCCTCTCACCCTCCGCATCTCTGGCCTGTACCCCAGTTCTCTATGAATAAATAAATAAATCTTTAAAAAAAAATTCAGATGCTCCAGAGCAAAGTGCTCAGACCTCTTCCCTATCTACATTCAACTCCCTATGGGATCTCGTACATCTCATGTCGAAACTCCACTGATACTTTGACACATGCACATCTTATCTACAACCTGGATCTCTTCCAATTCTAGTTTTGAATATTCAGTTTGTATTTGAAACCTCCACTTGGATGCTTTTATATAGCATTTCACTTTTATTTAATGTGCCTAAAACTCCCTTTTTGAAACCTGCTACAGTTAATTGATAATGTTTCAGTTAATAGCATCTTCCCAAGGTGTTTGGGGCAAAACATTTCTACCATTCTTGATTATTTTCTTTCTTTCTCTATTTTCAGTATAAACCCTGACAAATTTTCTCACCTATAGTGACTACAACAGTCCAATCGATCCCTATCTCTTACTTTAATCACTGCAACTGGCTTATAATTGGTCCCCATGTTTCTGCCACTGTTTCTCTAGCCTCTTCCTCCTCTTTTTAAAACCTAAGATCAGGTCACTTGTTGCACACCAACCCTCCAAAGGCTTCGATCCAGCCACAGTCAAGTCCAGGGCTTCAATTTGGCCTTACCTGAGCTTGCCTTGGTTTCTTCCCTAAGAATGCTTCTACCAAAAAGGAACTCTCCTGCACTGCTGGTGGGAATGAAAACTAGTGCAACCACTATGGAAAACTGTTTGGAGGTTCCTCAAACTGCTAAACATGGAGCTTCCCTACGACCCAGCAATCCCACTCCTAGGTCTCTACTCAAAAGACACAAAAACACTGATTGAAAAAGATACCTGTACCCCCATGTTTATTGCTGCTTTATTTACAATTGGAAAAACATGGAAGCAGCCCAAATGCCCAAAAGTAGATGAATGGATAAAAAAGATGTGGTACATATATACAATGGAGTATTACTCAGCAACCAAAAAAGAGAAACACATGTCTTTTGCAGCAACTTGGATGGAGCTGGAAAAGATCATGCTTAGTGAGATAAGCCAGAAAGAGAAAGAAAAATACCGGATGGTTTCACTCATAGCAGGAGTATAATGGACCAGGCGAGAAAATAACAAAAATAATCAACAACCATATACCAGAGACATTCTGTGGGCGTGGAGTGGGGAATGGGATCAAAAACAGGGGGGTGGGGAGGGAAATGCACGGGATTATGGTGATGGCACATGGGTGACTTGGTGATGGGAAACCCGCGGGGATTACAATTGAGATGGGAAAAAAAATGTACAAAATGATGTAAAAATAAACTGTTGTAAAATTTAAAAAAAAAATGCTTCTACCTCAGGATATTTGCACATGCTCTGCCTTCTGCTTGAATCAGTTTTCTCCCCAGTTCATGTCCTCAGAGCTCTGCTCAACTGTCCTCATCAGAAACTTTGACCACCCTGCAACACTGACCTGACTCAATTTCCATACTCTCTCCCACTAAAACTCCATGATGGCAAAAATGTAGTCTATCTTAGATCTGGCATGTAGTAGGTGTTCCACAATACTTGCTAAATGAATGTATGAGAGAAAAGGACAAGGAGCAGGGGAGGAAGGGGATAACAGATAGAAGGGAGATAAGAAAGAAAGAAAAGAAAAAAGCAACTGAGTGGAATGATGGTAACTTTTCACTCCATTTTTGAAGTACAGGAAAATTAAACCAAGGACCTAAATGGCATTATCTCCTTAGACAGAGCAAATTGACAGGGGCAAGCTGTGTACTAATTCAAATAAGTTAGGCACTAAAAACTGGAGGTGGAGAGATATTTTTGTAATGTTAGGCAAATTAAAAAACTCTCATCCAAATGAAGTTTTTCTTTGGTAAGAGTTCAAAAGAAATACACTATCCAGCTCAGCTGGAAGTTAGCCAGTGGGGAAGGTAGAAAATGGATATGAGCAGAGGGCTTGTTCTGAGTCTTCAGTTTTTGATGAATCCTGCAGCTAAGAAACTTGCTAAGTAGACTGGGCAAAAAGTTTGTTTAAAAAAAAAAAAAAAGGAAAAAAAGAACCCAGAGGAGAACAAGAGCTGCACAGCTGCTACCACTTAATTGCACAGATAGAGAAATTCTAGTTATTTGGTTTGGAAATAAGATGACTGCCTAAGAAACCCTGTACTCTAATTTGAGCTGAAGCAGTAAACCAGTTTACTAACCCCAGGCAAAGCACTTGGCCTTTTGTCTGTCACTCAATTCGAGAAAGAAAAAGTGCTTCAAAAAATAAACCTCAGGAAAAAATAAGATCCCCTTCACCTAAGCCAAGTCCTCCAGAGCAAATGGCTCACAAATCAGACCAGTTGGCACAAAAGCCCGCTCAGCTGCCAGGGAGCCCGAGCCCGCAGCGGCTGCAGGTGGCCGGCCACACAGGCTCTGTTCACGGAGCCCCACATGCCCGGGGCTTCTGAATACTTACACTCCTCCTCTTTTCCATGTTTGCTTCTTCAGCTGCCTTCTGGTACCTTCAGAGAAGGGAGAGAGGAGAAATTGAATGTTCTTAAATTAAACTTTTTTTTTATTATATACTTTTTACATCATTCTTCATCTTGTGTATTTTTTCATCTCAGTTGTATTAAAACTCTTTCAATCTTTAAGAAAACATTTATGCAAACCTACTTCTGCCAGCAAATTATTTTAATCAACTTTGTCAGAAGAAGCAGAGAATTGGAGCAGCTCTCACTTCCTGTCCTGTCCCAGCCTCCTGTTCTGATATAACAGAAAAGTCCAAGCAGATGAAGAAAATACTTGGAAACAACTGGATAGAGCAGAAAGTCTGGGGCTTAAGCACTGGTCTCATCACTTATTAACTGTGATCTCTGGCAAGTCAGTGATGCTACATACCTACTTTCAAGGTTGCTGGGAAGATTAAATGAAATCACATGTGTAAAAGGATTTGGCATCAGTTAAAGGATATAACATGGCATTAATCCTGAAACATATATTTGCCCACCTGGATGCATCTGAGACGATTGTACAGCTCTTGTCTGCCAAATGCGGGCGAAGTAATCATATTGCCTGTACATGTGTGAATTTAGTCTAAGTTGTTCGATTTGTCACATTAGTTCAGTTGAGTGGATTTGATGGCACTTAAAATGTCTTTAAAGAGATTATATTTTGACATTTAAAGAAAATCATTTTACTTTTTAATGTATGCATAAGAGGGACATGTAAGGAAAGTTTATGGGATAAGCAAGCTTGGTTCTTTTAATTAGCAGAATTTTTTTCCTTAGTGATAAAATAGCGTGAGGCCTACAGTCAAGGACATTGAGATGTCATTTACATATATATATATATATATATATATATATATATGATTTATTATTTGAAATTTCTTAGTACTTTCATCATTTTATTTTAACATCACTTGGATCATAATATCCCTGAGAAACAACTGAAGTCCTAGGGCTTTTGAGAGGGGGCAGGTTTTCTCATTTTGAGGACAAAGGAGGGCAGGGAAGCCCAAACGCAGCAAATCTCCAGGTCACCCAGAATGACCTTACTGCTTCCTTAACTGCTCAGGGCCTCGCAGTCAGCAGAATGGACACCACCATTGCCTCTCCTTGGGCTACATGCCTACACCCACTTAGCACCAACTCAGCCCTAGAAAAGGACATGTTCGGAGGGTCACTTGTTCTGTCAGAAGGTAAATTTTCAGAATTCACAAGGCATTTGGGAAGGAAAAGAAGTGAGATAAAAAGAATTATGTTTCACAAAGCATACAAACCATATATAAGTCAATGTACTTCTGTAAAATTTTTTAAATTGGGGCCCTCCCTGGTGGCGCAGCCGGTTAAAGCACAGCACTAAGAAGCTAAAGCCACTTCAGCATGAGTTCGATCCCCGCCTGCCCTGGAGGTGACCACATGGCACGGCAGATCTCTCCTGACCCATCCGCTGCTCCCCTCAGCAGTATGCTTCGTCAGTCGGCCTGTTCTGCTCCCCACTTTGTCTCTGGTAAAGCCTCTCACCTCTCCTGCACCTCTGGCCTCTACCCCAGTTCTGTATGAATTAATAAATTAATCTTTAAAATTTTTTTAATTGAAGCGTGACAATTAAAGAAAAGAAAAAGAGCCAAATGGGAAAGAACCCGTTTGCCTACCAACACCAACCTTCAATTTGTAAACACCTTCACATTTCTAGTGTGCATGTAAGTAGAATCTCAACCAAAACGGAAATCTGAAAAAGTCCCAGTTCTGGTGCCACTGCTTACTTGTTATATAACCTGGCTTATATCACATTTATTTGGGTCTCATCTACAAAGTTAAATGACTCTGTGAGAGGAATCTAAGGTCCTTTTTCAGTCCTGTCATTATTTGAATTTTAACAATCAGCTATTAATAAACATCTTATTTGCTAGGCTGGGAATTGCTCTACAAGTAAGCAGAGCTTTCTAATATGAGAGGGCGAAATTCCAAAAATTTCTGGCATTTCCTTAACCATAAATAGAAAGAAAATGAGATCAGGATTTCTGTAAGTGAAGGGACAAATTGCAAAAGTATTTGCAACTTCTGCAATAAGAAAAGGCTAGTATTCCTTAAAATATACAGGATTCTTTCAAATCAAAAAGAAAATGACAACAGAAAACTGAGCATGTTTACAGGAAAGAAATTCAAATGTTTTTTAAATAAACAAAATGGATGTCCAGTCTCAAAACAAAAATTCAAACAACACGAAGAACATGCCTTACATATCAAGTAAGATTTTTACTTTAAAGATTTATTTATTTGTACATACAAAACTGGGGTACAGGCCAGAGGCTCAGGGGCGGTGAGAGGCTTCACCAGAGACAGAGTGGGGAACAGAACAGGCAGATTGACGAAGTACACTGCTGAGGGGAGCAGCGGGCGGGTCAGGAGAGGTCTGCCGCGCCATGTGGTCACCTCTGGGGTAGGCGGGAATTGAACTCATGCGGAAGTGGCTTTAGCTTCTCAGTGCAGTGCTTTAACCCGCTGCGCCACCAGGGAGGGCCCTCAAGTAAGATTTTTAAATGCTGCTAGCAGACTATTGATGAGGATTTATGGGGAAGCAGGTCCTACTTAAATTGCTGGGGTGAGTGGAGGCAATAAATTAGAGAAAAATTAAAAAAAAAATTACACAAGCAAAAATACTTTCCATATGGAGTTTCCAAAATTATGTTTCCAAAATTTGTCTTACAGATATACTCCCATAAGCAAAAATGACATTTATAATAAATTACATCACAGCATTTATTCTAATAGCAAAGGACTGAAAACAACCTGAATTTCCATTATGAGGAGACTGGGAAATAACATATTCATGCAATGGAATACTATGTGGCTACGAAAAGGGAAGATAGTGGTGACTGCACAACAATGAAAAAATACGTGATACCACTGAACTGTGAACTTTAAAATGTTAAACAGTAAATTTTGTGTAATGCATATTTTACCACAATTAAAAAAATTGGTACTGGCAGAAACAATATGGCATTGACATGAAGATAGAGAGAACCCTGGAACAATATAGAGAGCCCAGAAATAAACCCTCCCACATATGGCCAAAGGATTTTCAGCAGGGTGTCAAGATTACCCCATGGAGGAAGGAGTCTTTTTAATAAATGATGTTGTGGGGGAAATGGATAAACACTTAAAAAAAAAAAGTTGGGCCATACCCTTATAAGATTTAAATCAGAATGGATCAAAGACCTGAATATAAGAGCTAAAATTATAACACTCTTAAAGAAAACAGACACAGTGTCATGACAACGATTGGCAATGATTTCTTGGAATGACACCAGAAGCACAGGCAACAATAACAAAAAATAGATAAACTGGACTTCAGCAAAATCTGTCATCAAAGGAAAAGAGGCAAACCTTTGATGGGAAGAAAATATTTGCTAATCACATGTCTAATAAGGGGTTAATACCCGTTTTTACATAATTTTTTAAAATTACAAATATGAGACAATATTGTACATACTACGCTGCATCTTATCAATTTAGAATAGCTGAAGTTTCATTCAAGAAATATATTCTAAATAATAGAGAAAAAGAAATGAAAGATTTAACCAAAAGAGGCAGTTTCCATTCTCAGGCAGTTTACAGTTTAAACCTTAAACAAACAAAGACAGAAACACACACACACCACCTGACTCCTCAGTTTGGTACCTCTGCTAGGTTACTCAATACTATTCCATTATTCTTTAAAAGAGTTACTGTTCTGTGTGTGTGTGCGTGAGAGAGAGAGAGAAAAGCCTACTTGAGGAGGAAATAGCCACTGAGATCTGAAGTCTGACCAGAGGAGTTGGCTAAGTAGCAAAGAGGTGAGAAACACCATCCAGGCACAGAAAAACAGCACATGCAAAGGCCCCTGGGCACGAAAGCATTTAGCCCGCTGGTTGTCCAGAGTGTACGTGGCTCCAGTGCTGCTGAGCACACTGGGAAAGGAGCAGCAGGCGGCAGTACAGCCAGGGGCTGTGCGGACCATGCGGAGGGTTTGGGGTTTAATCCAATAAGTGGTCATCGATCCGAATCATGTTTTTAAGAGTGCTTTGGAGACAAACATAAACACTCTGCTTTTGGATATGGGGGAAACCCAGAGTGGCAAAGTTGAACCTAGCACACATCTCTCTCCCCACCCCAACATGACTTCCTGCATAACAGCTCCCGCCACTCTTGTTTTAACTTTATCTGTTCCACAGTCCTAAGAACAGGGTTTGTATTTAGTTTGCTGTGACTGTCCTTCCTGAACTAATTAAAAAATTGATCCTCCGCTCTCCCTACTTAACTTCCTTTTTTTTTCCTCCGAGGATGAATGTGCATTCATGGTAGATGATTCTGGCTTGGTTCAGAGTGGGGCACTGGAGAAATGGTGAGAGTTCATGGAAGATAAGAGTTAGCAAACACCTCCTCGATTTAGCAGCCCTGGAGCTGGCAATTCTCTTCCATTACAAATACATGTTATTCACCCATACTCCATTTAATGGACATTTGCAATGTTTCCAGTTTCAACCATTACAAATAGTGTTTTAGCAAATGTCCTTGTACATGTATTTTCCCATTTGTATTGAGACATGGAAATGCAGAAATATAGAGGGTTATAGCTAGCAAGGAACATAGAACTGGTCTTGAACTTGCTCCCACACCTGCTGGATGGCTTCTAAAGTATGTTATAGCAGCAACTGGCCAGAGCCAATCAGCAAGCAGGTTTCTTTGCTCAATTATTCTTGGAGGCAAGGTATTTACACTGTGGTTAGCTGGGTAAATAAGCTCAGGGGTTCACTTCCCTTTACTGTCTTTACAAAAACAAAGATTTGAAGAAAGGAGACCAAAGTCATTTTCATCTTCAGTCCTTTCCTTTTAGTATTGAGGCATCTGCAAGATACAGGTGGCTGTTCTGAATTGTGTTTGAAACTCCCATTCAAATGCTCCCACCTTTATTTATAAAGAAATTCTTGCTGAAGAGCAGATATGCAGGGAGCAAAGTTCTACACCACTGCTCTCTTCCCAGCCAGGTCCTTGTGCGTCTGCATTGTACTTTCAGAACACAAGGAGACTGAAGCATGATCTTGCTGAACTCTGTGTTAGAACTCAGGCCTCCAACTTTCTTCAAAGGCACTTAGAATAACAAGCATTATTCTGACCCAAAATGTGAAGGTCACTGATTTGTGGAGGAAAGGAAGGTACTTTTAAGACCCAGATTTGAGGGGGGAAATATTTGCAGCGAGGTTTCTATAATTAAAACATTATCCCTCATCCTTTGCCAGATTTTCTCATCTTCCAGTCTCCTCCTCTTCCCAAACAAAATCAAACCTTGTAACTACTCGTTAATGCTCAATTCTGAGGCAGGCAGTTGATGGATGATGCTAAAATTATCTAGGGAGTAATAATAGTGTCTCAAACTTCTCTACTGCCAGAAAACAGAGTTCCTGAGCTATGACTCTTGTTTGTAGCCCTCAAACAGAGCAAAAGGAACAGTAAGCTAAAAAGGGGGAAAATGGAAACTCCCAAGGAATAGGCAGTAAATTTACTTCTGGAACAATTTCACCACTAACAAATTACAGAAGAGAAAAAAAGGAAGTTAAGTAGGGAGAGCTGAGGGTAAATTTTTTTTTATTAACTAAAGGAAGAACAGGCACAGCAAACTAAACACAAACCCTGTTCTTTCTTAGGCCTATGGAACAGGCAAAGTTATAACAAGAGTGGGGGGAGCTGTTATGCAGGAAGGCATGCTGGTTGTGGGGCGAGAGATGTGCGCTAGGTTCAACTCCGCAGCTCTGGGTCCCACTGCGCCCCCCGGCCCCATCCAAAAGTAGAGTGTTTATGTTTGTGTGCTTTGGTAGGTTATTTTAGGTCTCGAAATACTATTACTATTAATTTATATGGAAAACATTTGAGAACTCCTATAGCCCTAAAATAACCTACCAAATCATACCAAACATGAACATTCTGCTTTCCGATAGTGGGGAAACCTGTATCTTGGTGTGTACTCTTCAGTCAAAACTGCCAGACCTCAAGTTCCTTATTTGTTAGAACAAGGGGACAAAAGTTAGCCAGATAAGTGGTTTTAAACTTTTCACTGCAGAATTCATTTTTCAAATAATATCTTGCTTAGAACCTAACACAGAAAAGATATCAAAGCAGGATAGCTGGGCTGGAAAGACCCAGGCTCACCCCTTAAAAGCAGGCAGTCGCTATTGAAAGCGAAAGCTTGTCAGGGTAAGTCAAGCATAAAGAGAGGTGGGGTCAGACAGGGTGAAAAGAGTAATATGGAGGTTTCTCTGCAGAACAATTTCCAAGTTCTGTTAATCATATCTCAACACTGTCTCAAATCCTTCCCACCCCTTCCTTTCCATTCCTCTGCTCCCCACCCTCAACAGCTTTCACTTGTTTTCACATGAGTCTCATAATTTTCTTCAGGCTACCAATCTTTCACTTTCACTGTATATTTGACCATGTCGCCAAGACCATCTTTCTAAGTGAGAAGTGTGATCATGTCATTCTCCCTGCATGCAAAGCTTCAGTAGTTTTCATAGTTTATGTAACTAAATCCTAAACTTAGCATAGCATTCAAGGCCTTCCATCATCTGGCCCTCACGGAACTGTGTTAGCCCTCCTTTTCACCATAACAGACGGTTCGCTTTCCTACTTCTTTTATTCATATTCAATTTTCATAATCCATGGCTTGAACTTCCTATTAGAAATCTTATTCACTCTGCTTTATGTTTAAGGTCATTGTTTTGATTTCCCAAGCCCGTCTCGTTCACTACCAGTGCTTTCTAATTTTCCTAAAGATAAAAACCACCTGGGATACTGTTTAAAGCACATAAGTTCCTGGGTCCCATCCCAGGCACACTGAGTCAGACTCTTTTGGGAAACATACACCACAAAACTTACACTCCTCCCATCAACAGGGAGAGCTAAACTCTCTCCCCTTAAATAGGAGCCAGCTTTGTGACAGACTTGTAATCAAAGAGAATGTGGCAAAAGTGCTGCCACGTAACTTCACAGGCTGGGTCATAACACTGACCCCAGTTCCTTTCCTTTTGTTGCTCCCTCCCTATTCTCGCCCCTTGCCCCTGGCCCCCAGTCAAGCAAACCAAGCTGCACAGGAAAGTCAAGGCAGGTGGCCCAGCCCAGCCGCACCTGAGAACTCAGGTGTCAGCACCTGACCCACTGTGAGTGAGCTTTCCCTGACTTGTGTCCCCATCTCTGAGCCAGCCCAGCTGATGCTGAGGGAAGCAGAGGAAGTTCTGCCTAAGCTGGAGACTCATAAGCAGGATAAATGCTGTAATTATTTCAGGTCACTAAATTTTGGAGGCTGTTTTCACTCAGCAATAACTAACTGGACCACCTGGTTATTTATAGTACCCTATTGTAGCCCTTAAGATGAAGGAAGTCTGGGGTATCCTCTAATGTTTAAACTATAATGTTCATTTCCTTAAGGCCAGGGATTGTCTTAAAATTTCCCAACCTCGAGTTGTTTTCTGAACTATCTGTATTGATTTTATTTTTTATAAGAATAATATGTGTTTGACATAAAATTATAGCAACATAAAATGTATAATGTTTGGGCTGTGCCATTCATACTGCCTGCCCTCCCCCTTAAGGCATCACCAAGGGCAGCAGCTTGGAAGGAGGCGCTTGATGGGCTTGTGACTAAAGAAAAGGTGATTCTGTAGCTTAGAGAAACCTGTTGGTTTAGCTGCATCTTGGATACAAACCTCACAGTTACTCACTTCAAATCTTTACCATCTTTCTTCTCTTAAATGTATCATAGCTTCTTATTAATTAACAAACATTACTAGTGAGATATACCTACCACCTGCCCAAAGCTACTTCCTACTATGGGATCTCTGGTGTCTTATTTACATATATCATTCTTTCAATATTTGTTGCGTGTTCCAGTTACCATGTCATGCGCTGGGGATATAAAATAAGCATGGGAGAGGTCCGTATACCATACGTTTTACAATTATATTTTGTGTTTTAACTTTTTCTTTCTCCAAATAAGCAAACATGCCTCCTGATAATCACCTTATTCCTTTTCACGTGCATGGTCCTAAGACCCAAAAGGTGCTTAATAAAACCATTTATAGCATGGACTTCCTTTACTAATTTCTCTGACAGATGGTAATGTTTGCTCAAGTCAGGTGTGCTTTCTCTTGACCCAGATCAGTACTTACTTGGAGAATATTTCTGCAATGGCTGATGACTTGTTCTTGTTGACGAGAGAAAGTTCTTTAGCTGTTACTCTCAGTGACTGGGATGTCCATTGCCGTCTATTAAACGGAGTTGATTCCATTTTGTCTACAGATACTGAAAGACCTACGTAACAAAGCGTGTGAGAATATTAGACACAAACGTGGACTCTCCAGCATCCAAAGCCCGCAGCAGTGTGATAAAAGAGCCTAGACCCACACTCTTTGCTCTCAAAAACTATAGCCTTGATCAAATGATTCAATATCTTTGGATTGTAGTTTCCTGTAAGATGAGAAGGTTAGAACAGATGATCTCAAAGGTCCCTTCCAGTTGCATCATTTTATGACTGACCCTACTGTGCAAACATCAGTTGGCCTTTCCCTGAACTTAAGATTGTTCCAAAGTCACATTTGGAGTGAAATGTTCCACTCTTCTGAGTTACATCCCAGGGGAGGTACAATCAGCATCTCTGTAGAATCAGGTCCAAATTAGGTTCCACCTACATCCAAGTTTCTTTTGGCTGTTCTCTCTCCCAAGTTCTGTAGCCCTGACCACTACGCCCTGACCACTACTCGGTGTTAGGGAAAGAGCTGGGGTTATAGCATAGTATAATATAAGGAGAAAGGGCTTGAAGGGAGACAGACTGAAGTTAAAATGTAACTTGGTTACCTTAAAAGCCTTTTTGGTTTTATTTTCTTCAGCTGAAAAACAGTACTTTCATAGGGTCTTTGATGTGGATTTAAGGAGACAATATACTTAAAATATTAGGGATGTTTTCATTTTCTTAGAGCATCTTAAGTATATATTAGTGTTGACTTTTAAAATAATTCTTATTATTTTCTTTTATTTTAATTTTTTAAAATATTTTTTTATTCATGCATACAAGAACTGGGATATAGGCCAGAGGTGTGGGGGGTGTGGGGTGGGAGGATTCATCAGAGACAGAGTGAGAAGCAGAACAGGCAGATGGACTGAAATACCCTGCTGAGGGGAGCAGCGGGCGAGACAGGAGAGGTCTGCCATACCATGTGGATCACCCCCCTGGCCTGGGATCAAATGTATGCTGCAGGTTCAAACTCATGCTGCAGTGACTGTGGATAGCTTCACACTGCTGTGCTTCAACATGCCACACACTCATTATTTTAAAGACTTTTAGCAATTGAGGAAAGTACAGTGTACTTCATATTCAGGGCATAAAACCTATATACCTGAATTATTTTCTAAAATTCATAGATTTTCTAAAATCTATGTGATAGGGACATCATATAGTCCCTATCCAATAGCCTGGAATACTTGGTTTTGCCCCAGTAATTACCAAAGGAGTCCAAACCTTACTCAGAAGAGATTAAAAAAAAAAGAAGAAACAAAGAAAAGAAAAGAAATGAGTCAACAGTTTCCTTCTGTGAAGGGTAAAAGTATAGATGAAGGTGCTACATACAGCCCTCTTGACAGCCACAAAGCAGAACTGCATTCTGGTGGAATGTTTGCTTCATCAGGAGCTACCTCCAACAGCCTAAGCAACAGTAGAACACACAGTCGCTTAACCCAGCAACCAGGGCAGCTTTTTATACTAAAGGCCTGTAAAGCAGAGAGATAATCCTAAAAGACCAAACTCCTTTCTGCATGTATTTGTTCTCAACTAAATCTTTGTCTGAAAAATAATATCTTTTGTTTGTTTTCTTTTTCATTTTGTTTTCATCCCCACATTGCAAGGCAGCATAGTAACCTCTAAAGGTAAGGAGGTCTGTTAGACATCTAAGTGAGAGAACTAACCCCATCACTTACAGTTATGTGCCCTAATACTCAAGATTTCTCATCCATAGTAACAGTACTTACACTTCATAGTATCTTTATGAAGAATACATAAGATAAAGAAAGCCTAGCACTGAAGAAGCAATAAGTGTTAATTTCTTATATTATCTCTGGAGAAAATAACCTTAATTCTGCACATATTCTTTGAAATAACCTGAATGTATCAAAAATACTTATTTTTTGGTCTATCTGCTTACCAGTTTGTAATTGACCGACCCACTGAAGAGTGCCCATCTTTTCCCGAACAAAAAAAGACAAAGAAACTACAGGAAATTCAGCTAAACTTCATTATGTAAAACTACAATAATGATCCTTTAAGCCAAATTCCAAATTTAGGAATTACAGACCAACACTTTATGACATTATCTGGTACAATTATGCTTCCAATGTAGGTATGGATATAAATGTCAGCTTTTCTACAGAGATCAATTCTGGATCCAAGAAAAAAATACAGAAGATATGCTGGCAACTTTATTCATAAAAAAAAGCATTAATTATTTGAGGGACTGACTGTGATGAACAAAAAGGAGTTTAATTCCTATTTCTAATTCCAGTCAGACAGTCAAGAAAAATCAAAACACCTATACTGGTAAAATGCTAAAAGAAAACAAAAACAGGGCCCTCCCTGGTGGCGCAGTGGGTTAAAGCACAGCATTATAAAGAGATCTGCAGCCACACTGCATTTTCAGTTCGATTCCCAGCCAGGGAGTGACCCACATGGTACAGCAGACCTCTCCTGTCTCCCTGCTGTTCCCCTCAGCCGTGTATTTCAGTACATCTGCCAGTTCTGCTCCCCATTCTGTCTCTGGTGAATCCTCTCACCCCCTACATCTCGGACTTGTATCCCAGTTCTTGTATGCATAAATAAATAAGTCTCAAAAAAATAAGCCAGCTAAGCTCAATTTATATTCAGGGCATGATGTGGCCCATACTTTGATTCTATTTCTCTTCACTGAAACATAGTCATATTTCCTTCTAGTGTGATTAGTAACCTATGACAGATAAAAGTGATAATCAATACATGATTTCTGATAGACTCTGGTACCATGTAACTGAGTAAATACTACAAGTTACAGTGAGAGGGTGCTGTCCAAATAGTATATGTAATCTACCAGGTTTGCTAACATGCACAGTAATTATAGCACAAGACAGAGAAAAAGTGTGGTCTGGAAGTACAAGACCTGATTTTCTGACTTAGCGGAGGGAAGGCGGAGACAATGGGTTGACTTGGGAGTTACAGAATGAGTAGAATTCAATAAGTGAGCAGGATAAGGAAATGAATTTCAGGAAGGGGCAACAGTATCAGCATTACTCCATCGTGGAGTTGAAATAGTCTAGTCTACTTCATGGGGTCAGATTCCAGGTGCAAGAGAAGCTGAAGACAAGGAAAGATAGGAGGAGCCTTAGAAACTATATAAAGGAATTTTGACCATATTTAAATGGAGTAGTGCAACTTGAGGGAAGAAGATGGAAGTCCAAATAACTAGATATATCTAGGTATCAAGAAGATACTAAAATGCCTAAGTAAGAGGCAATCAAGGTTTAAGTTAGAAAAGACAGGAATAGAAAAGTGGAAAGAAATAACTGAAAGTTCTTAGAATAAAATGTGTTTAGGATAATAAAAGGAATCAAAGCTGTTATCATCAAACTTGAATGATTGGAAGATTTTCTATTAACAGAGAAAATACAGAGAAAAAACAGTAGTATAATAGATAATGGGATATACAGAAAAGAGAACTAAAGATGTCTTCAAATTTAGATTCATATCACAGATTTTTTTTTAAAGATTTATTTATTTGTGCATACAGAACTGGGGTACAGGCCAGAGGCTTAGGGGTGGTGAGAGGCTTCACCAGAGACAGAGTGGAGAACAGAACAGGCAGATGGACGAAGTACACTGCTGAGAGGAGCAGCGGGCGGGTCAGGAGAGGTCTGCACGCCATGTGGTCACCTCCGGGGCAGGCGGGAATCGAACTCATGCGGAAGTGCTTTAGATTCTCAGTGCAGTGCTTTAACCCGCTGCGCCACCAGGGAGGGTCTCATATCACAGATTTTTATATCAAGAGAACAGCTTAGAAATCAGGTAGCTAAACCTCCTTTATTATAATAAGGGCAAAGAGCCACCTCAAGGTTCAACAGTTTTCCAAAACTAGTTTAGTAAACCTAGTTTGTATGTGAGCCAGAGTTCTACTGATAATTCCTGATTCAGCTTTCTTTTATCATATCAGGTAGCTTTAAGTGGGATGGCTAAACACACAATGAATGGAGAGGTAAGGATCTCTCAAACAAAAGTCTTTGCAAGTTTTAAGGGTTGGGCAATGACTCACTGAAAAATCTGGCCCCCGGGTTATCTGCCTCTCAAGCTATTGCTCAGGGTGAGGCCTGTAGCTATTCCAGGAAACCTACTCTAATACATTCATTAAGAGACTTACCTAACCGGGGAATAGTCTCCCAGAAAGCAGGCTGGAACAAAGAGCAAATGAATTACCACTGGTAAATGTAAAACCCTGTTGTTACAAATCCAGTCTCAGTGTTTTCTCTCTCCTTGCCTCCCTTTCTCTCTCAATTCACATGCTCGGAGAAAAAGACCTGAAAATTAATACATTTTTAAACCTTTCTATTTAATTTTAGATTTACATAAGAGTTGCAAAAGTTGTACAAAAATTCTGATATATCTTTTACCTAACTTTATTCACATTATCACAAGATCATTATCAAATTTAAGAAATTAACAACTGTACAATACTGTTAACCAAGCTACAGACTTGATTCCAATTCTACCAGTTTTTTCCAATAAAGTCTTATTTTTGTTCCAAGATTTCATACTGCATTTACATGTTATATTTTCTTAGTTTTCTTTTTTCTGATTGATGACATTTCTTCTATTTCTTGTCTTTTAGGTCCTTGACAATTTGAGAGTTCTGGTCAGGTATTGCATTTAGGGTTTGTTTCTCCAATGAAAAGAACCAGAAGTGATTGGTTTCAGAGGGGAGTCAGCACAAATACAAGATGAGGGTCTACAAAGTCCCAATGCTCAAAAATATGCTTTGTTTTGAAATATATATGATGTTTTCTTAGGTAAGATTGAGGCTGTGAAATTTGGGGGAGCAAATAACAGAGCTAAAGTGCCTTCTTCTATGCATCATACTAAAGGACATGGTACTGATGTCTTCTGTCCTTGATCATTTAGTGAAGGTGTTACCTGTCAGGCTTCTCCTGTAATGTTACCATTTTGATAATTCATATTTGAGTGGGAACAGAAACTTGATCTTATTCCTCAAACTTTTGCTCATTAAGTTTGGCTTTTGTGAGTG